CCCCCCCCCCCCCCCCCCCCCCCCCCCCCCCCCCCCCCCTCTAATCCAGGCAGATCACTTGAGTTTCTGTTGCAGGGCTTCTGTACCAGGCAGGCACTGCTACATCCTTGTCTTTTGTAGGTTTTTGGTGTTCTCTGATTTAGGGCGATCTCTTCAGTCCATTCTGAATGACAACTTACACCTGAATGAGAAGGCAGCTTTTCAGATTGCAGTCCGGCTGGTACGTAGGGAGCCAACACTTTCCAAAAGACTTGTTAAGGAAAGGCATATAACTTCCTCCCTCATCTTTTAAAGGTACTTTAAAGTTAATCCAGGGGGGTTTGCTGGCTCTTAAAGTAGCATCTCTAGAGACTGTTGTAAACCTGAGTAGCATCTCTTGAGCAGTGTGTAAAATAGAAGGAATCTGAGGTAAGGAGGATGAAAGAAACCTTGAAAATCAGAGGCTGTGGGACATGGTGCTCATGTATCCTCCATACAGCTACAAGAAATGTGGGAGCAGGGTCCAGCTCAGTTGAAGCCTGGGTGCTGAGTGAGGAGTGTGTCGGTCTGATACACTCTGCTCTTCTGTTTACCTGTAGCTGGATTGCCTGGAGTACCTTCACGAAAATGAGTACGTGCATGGGGACATCACAGCTGACAACATCTATGTGAACCCAGCAGACCTCACGCAGGTATTGAGTGGGAGCAGTGCTGCAAGGAAATGGCAGCTGAGTTGGGCTCATACAAGTGGGACAGAGCAGGTTTAGAGCAGGGGAGCAATGCAGTTCATGCACTGTTCACGTGCAGCAGTGCAGGACTGGGGGATGCACAGGTTTAACACCCAAAGGCAGGAAACCTTAGAAGCCACCTGGTGTTCCATAAAGGGATTACTCAGAGGGAAGATTCAGGCTCTGACTTGGAGACCTCTGTGAAGCAAGCAGAGCAGATGCACAGCCTGTGGTCCTGGCCCCAAGTAGTAATGCTCAGAAGTGTGTTTCCTGCTGTCTTCCAGGTGACCCTCGCAGGCTACTACTTTGCCTTCCGTTACTGCCCAGAAGGGAAGCATGTAGCTAGGCGTGAAGGCAGCAGGACTCCTCATGAGGGCACAATAGAGTTTATCAGCCAGGACAGCCACAGGGGAGCAGGTGAGTGTTTCTGACACGAGCTGGTAAAAAGCCCACCTGTAGCTGTTTCTGTAGCAAGGCTCTCTGAAGCTAGGGCTTCCTACTGCCACTTGTTACTGTTGCTTTCCAGGCATGTATGTGCACCTGGAACCCAGTTTCTGTTCGGCCTATTTCCTCAAACCTCTTTCCAGGCTGCTGTGTTGAGGAATTGCCAGGTTACACAGCAACTGTAGCAAGAGGCGCAGGGGTGTTCCTGCTCCATCTGGGGTCGTGGCTCCTGCAAGTGTGCAAGGAATAGAAAACTGGGTTGCTTCATGCTGGCTTAGATGGGATCTGCTTCAAGCTAGGCTGGACCCCTGCCCAAAACAGACTCCACTCTGACCTTGAAGCAGAGAGCTGGAAGGATGTTCAGATTAGCTACTTGTTTGGGTCTCAGAAATAGACACTTCCGAGGATGTGCCATGAGTGCTGAAGTGCTCCTTTGGAGAGGTGCTAGCTGGACCTCCCCTGGGATGGCTCCTAATCCATTTTCTGCATGTGAATTTCTCTTCTTTCAGCACCATCTCGACGGAGTGACTTGGAATCCCTGGGCTACTGTCTTCTGAAATGGCTCTGTGGCTTCTTGCCTTGGTCTAAGGAGCTGGACAAAGTAGAAACTGTGATGGAAAAGAAAGAAATGTAGGAGTATTCATCTGCTCTTTTGGGAAATGCTCAAAAGGAAACACTGAGGGCGATTCTGTGACTAGAGGACTGTGATCAAACGATTTCTCTTTATTGTGCTGTGGATAAATCCCACTGGAAAGTCACACTGGAAGCAGGTGGCCAAAATTATCTCCCGGGTGAAAGGGTTATTGGTGAACCCAGCTCTCAGCAGCATTTAGAGCCTGACCATCTGAATTTGGCCTTTTTTGTATTTTGTTCTTGTCAAAGACAGGATGCTTCAGTGCCTGCTCCATTGCTTCTCTTCTGACAGCTCTCTGCACTGGTTCTTCCAGGTACAAAAATGATGTGACATGCCTTCTCCAACAGTGCTTCAGCAGGCAGAGGTCGATTCCAGGTGCAGGCTTGCTTTCCTAGGGGCTTCTTGGGGAGGGAGAGGGGATTGACCATACTTGAAGCCAGAGCTTTCCTCACACTGGGGTGCTAACTGGGATGGCTTGTGGTGGTGGTGGTGACAAAGCAGTGCACAGACCAGCTGCCAGGCTCCTCCTAAGAACAAAGCCCTTGTTTGCAGCAAAGCAAAGAAGGCTGCTACCTGTTACATCTACGTTCATAAGACTTGCTGAAGAGGCCAGTGTTCTAGTGGCTTTAAAAATGCAGAATTTGGGGCTTGAGGTCATTTCTCCATCCTGTTTAAACTTTATATTAGTTCTTTGTTTTCATAGAATGGTTTGGGCTGAGAGGGGCCTCAGAGAGCATCTAGTTTGACACCCTCCCCCATGCCGTGGGCAGGGACGCCTCCCCCCAGCTCAGGCAGCTCAGGGTCCCATCCTGCCTGGCCCTGAGCACCTCGAGGGATGGGGCATCCATCCACAGCTTCTCTGGACAGTGGTGCCAGGGCCTGCATAGTGGAAAATTGCTTCCCTGTATCTAAAGCCAGTCCCTCTTTTAGTGTAAAGCCATTACCCCATGTCCTGTTGCTTCATGCCCTTGTAGAAAGTTTCCTCCCCATCTTTCCCATAGTCCCCTTCAGGTACTGAAGGGCAGCAGTGAGGTCTTTCTGCAGCTGTAGAAGGGTGAGAATCCCTTCCCTGACCTCCTGGCTGTACTTCCACTGTAGCCCAGGTTTAGTTTTCCTCTCTCTGCAGCTGTCCAAGGCTGAGGAGTGATCTCTGCAGGGAATGGAGTCTGGAAATGTTCCTTGCCAGTTTTGTGAAGGTGATGGGTTGTGTGGATCCACATGGTGACATTATGTGCTTTGCAGCTGCCCTTCAGAGCTACCTGCAGCAAGTAATGGCACTGGAATATGAGGAGAAGCCAAACTATGAGGCCCTGCGGCAGCTCTTCAAAAAGCCACTGCAGATGCTGAAAGCTTCAGCTTATGACTCTGTGGATATCATGGTAGTGCCCTAAGTAAGTGCCCACGGTTCAGACTGCTGCAGCACACAGCACCAGTCCCCTGCACTCCAAGCAGCAGTGGAGCACTGTTGCTATTACCTCAGCAGATCTCCACTTGCTGTAGCTTAAGACCTTTCTACCCTGCCATTTCATCATGTTTTCCGTGGTGTTTCAGCTTTCCATTGAGTTACAGGGAGGAAACTGTACAAACTGATTTATGTTCCCCTTTTGTCTCCTTTTAGGTCAAGAAAACTTGCACAGGACAACACAGTTCAGAGCTTTATGCAGTGTGAAGCTTTTCCAAAAGATGTGAGAGATTTTACCTACTGTTGTTTTATAATAAACTTTTTGGGAAGCACACACAGCCTGCAGCATGGGGTTACTGGGGGAATATTCAAGGCTGTGCTTTGGCTTTCTTTCCTCATGGCAACGCAGCAGATTTGTGATTTGAGTCTCATGTTCTGTGCAGGGCCCTCTCCCACCTGCTTGTGGTATGGATGTAAATAGCCTTCATCCCCCAGCTCAGCAGAGGTGAACGGATACCAGCCATAAAAGCAACACAGAGGGCCATTCAGAGATGTAAAAACAAATTTTATATTAAAAAACAAACAAACAAACAAGCACTACATCCTATCTGAACTGTTGCCACCTGCCACAGTAACTTCTAGATAAAGGAAGAGTTGTGGAGTCCAGTTCCAGTGTTAAAATCATTGACAATTCATGAAAGTCATAAAAACAAGTAAAGAACATTAAAATACCAACACATAAAAAGAAGGCTATTTTCCTAATGTAGGCAGGCTGAAGGAGCTTTAACCCAGGATGGCTAGGCTGAGGTCAGTGTAGGAAGTTCCTTCAAAGCCCTACTTGATACAGTACAGAAGATTGCAATTTTAATGAAAGCATATGCTCCCCTTGTGGACTAGGATGCAGTTGCAAGGCTTAAATTAGGGCTTTCAGACAGTTTGCCCTTACTGCATTGCTGCCTGCTTCTAGTGTTTAAGTGAGGTGTGCTTTACTGAAGGCCACGTTCATGGAAATAGCAAGGAAAACAGGCAGTGAAGGCAGGCCATGGACTGGAGGTGGCAGTTAAACCACACTGCTGCAGCATGGGCTAACAGTTCACAGTACTGTAGCATTGGGCAGTGAAGCAGTAAGGCACAGGAGGATAACATTTCAGGGAAGGAACACATGGCAACTGAGGCCTGAGTCAAATAGGGTTTTTAAAACCATGAGAGGTAGGTTAAAAAAAAGCTCAGACCTGCAATGAGCCTTCATTTACCTCTTGACTGTATCGATAAAAACCTTACGTCAGTGCAGGAGAAGATATATACATAGAAGAGGGAAGCACCAGCTGACTTGAAACAGTACCTGGCTAAAATTAAAATGCAGCATAACCACACAGAGGTCTACCAACTTCAAGCATAGTGTTACATCCAGTAACTTTGTGACCAAAGCAAATTCCTTTCTTTCATGGTGCCAGGCCTCACAGTGAAGCAGGGGAGAGGACAAGGTCATTCTCAAGGAATAGTTGGCGAGGTATGACACAAGCCATGAAGTTAACCTCCCTCTCAGTCTATGAAACTTGGAGAGAATCAGAAAAGAGGAAATACTTTTAAAAACGCAGTTATCAAGGATGGAAAAAGGCCAGAAGTGAGATACAGAATTAAGAGACAGGCTTACAGAATGTGGTAGGAATAGGCAAAGTTAAGGGAAAGGGCTCTTTCTGGAGGTATTGACAATTATTCACTATCATTCCTGTACAACTATGACAGAAATGCTGTTTCCAGAAAACCTAGAAAGCATGAAATCAGAGGCTTAAGAAGCCCAAGTTCACCCTTTCTTCACTGTGTTCTGCCAGGTTTTTGCGCTTGACTTGCCTTCGGGCAGAATTCCTATCACCAGCTCTAGCATGCACTGATGGCAAATGTGATTCCAGGTAGGGGGGCAGGCATGGCTCCTTCTTCATGGCACTGCCACCAGACAGTGCTGAGGTAGGTTTGAGAGGTATTCCGCAGCTGCCTTCCACGGAAGATGTAGGACTGGCACCACTGACAGAAGAGTAGCCTGAGCTCCCTTCACAGCTGGGATTTCTTGAGGCAACACAGGCTGAAAAAACTCTGTGAGTTTCATCTGGAGTCCTGGCCTTCCTTGGCGGTGCTGCGTGCCCAGGACACTCGACAGAGAGGCTGTCCTCATCACTGGAGTCCTGACAGCAGTGCTCTGCTGGATCCACGTACACCACTGTCACATCCAGGATTCCACTGGGACTGGTGACTGAGGGATGAGAGAAGGAAAAGGCCAGTCAGAATTTGGGCAACACCAAGCTAACAGTCAAGCAGAGAAAAAAAGTGCAAGTGTAAACCTTGTCGAGAGGGGAGGGCAAGGGTAGAGCTTACCCTCATTAAAGTAATTTAATATTTCCCTCTCGCCCTGTTTGGAGAGGTACTGCCCAACTTGGAAAATGAAAGGCCAGAGCCTGTGCGTCAATAAAACAACAGCTGACAGCGTTCCAACACTGCCTACAGTGCGACCCATTCAAGGCTGGTTATGCTGTAGCAGCATCTGAAAACACTGTCTTGGAAATGCTGAGTGGCTGCAAAATCCTTAAGTTCTGAAGCAGTGAAGAGAAGAAATGTACTCCTAAAAGTTTAACAACTATAACCACTGGGGGGAGAAGGAGAGTTTCCCCAGCTGCTCTTAGGAAAGTTTAGGCTCTTCTGGTGCTCCCAGGAGTTTTATGTAAAAATAAAAAGGTGGGTTTTCAGGTTCTCTTATGTGTTTTTGTTTGTTTGTTTGTTTTAATAAGACTAAAAGCCTTACCATCTCCATCTCTCTCGCCTTCGCTTTCCTGATCGCCTTCATAACCAGAGCAGGAATCTAAACTCCAGTCCAGGAAGCTGTCCAGAAGACTTTCTTCCTGGGTGGATAGCTCAGCTGTAGGTGTAGTCACTAAGCTGCCCCTGTCATCCTGAGTGCTGTCTTCCCTCCTCCTGTAGCAAGAACATCCAGAAGTCACACGTTAAAAGCCAACTCTGCTTCTCCAGCTCTTCTAATAGAGATGTCAGGCCAAGGTAATAGCAGAAGGAATGGAAGCTCAGGATGCCAGAGAGGAGGAAAGGCTCACGCAAGTCTTCACAGACCTTTACAGCCATGGGTTATACTCACCTTTTAGATCTCTTCCCAGAGGGAGAGCTAAAGAAAGCTTTAATTTCTATGACATTTGTGTGCAGGGGACTGGGTTTCAGGTCCTCCTGCTTCACACCCAGCAGTGAACAGAGCTGGCTGTAGCTCATCACCTGAAAAACAAAGGGTTAAGAATTAGACCATGTGATTCCCTCTGCCAGGAAGCAGCTATTTTATCCTTACTTATCTTTATTTCTTTCCAGGAGAAAGCTATCCTGTTGAGTCCTTCCTAGAACTGCTGTTCAACCACAGCAGTTAGATTCCCAGCAGACGAAATTTAGAAGCCCCAACCTTACCCAGCCATTCTCTACTTCCAAAACCTGAAGTTAAAATTCACTTCCACTTACTGGAAGTTTTGAACACCCTGCGACATAGTAGCTTCTGCTCTAGGTGTCAGACTTCAGCAAACAAAAGAACAAACCCACCTTTTCTTTGCCTACTTCATCGTATCGCTCATCTTCAAATCTCTGTCTCACTGCGGTTAAAGACACCTGCCTGTAATCCTTAGGGACCTCATCATGGAAACTGGAAAGAAAGACCAGGGCTTTAATCTTAGAATGGATTATATAGAACATTGTTAGCAAATTCTGGCCATGTAAGCACCTTCCCTCTGTCCAGCTCAGCTCTGTGCCGAGGAAACTGGCATTTCAGCAGATCTGCTAAGCATGCAAGCATCCAATTCCTTTTCTGTTTCTTGAGGTATTTGACTTCCAGCCTTTCAGAAATGAATTACTTTTGTTACTGAACTCCTTCTGGAGCTCATCAAAAAGCTAGTCACAATCACCTGAAAACAGCGATGCTGGCAAGCTGAAACCCGCTGGGCTTGGGGAGCACCAGGGCTTCTGTAACCCAGGGCCACTGCCAGGCAAGACAAACGCAACAGCCGTCACTGAAGCAGCCCCTAGATGTCAGTGCCCTGGGGTAGGGGGAGTAAAGCAGTTTGCTAAAGCCACCTCCTCCCTTTGGAAGGACTTCCAGCAGGGCCACGAGAGCCAGAATACAAAAACACTCCCAGAAGAGTTCCCCAAGTTTTACCATTTTTGGTGAAGGCGCAGCACACACGGCAACAGGTCTTCAAGAGAGAACCCAGTGCACTCAGACAGCTGGCTGGTCCAGGGATGTGCTGGAGGAGGGAACAGGCATTACCATTTCACAGAGCTCGCAAGTTCTATAGTCAGACAGAGTTGTTAATGGGGTAAAGATCATGCCTGTGTGGTGACAATCTTTAGGAGCTTTTGCCTGCACACAGCTGAAGTTCAGAATTTGCTTCTAGGATAGGCTTACTTGAGAAATGGAAGCTACACCTAAGTAGAATTCTACTGCATAGATAAGGGCAAAACCCTTCAGTCTCATTTAAATGCAGGGCTCATGTTATTGCATTGCTACAGACCAAACTCAACTCCACTCTCACGTATTACACCTTTCCCCCCTCCCACACTCCCCAGGGTGGTTGGGGCACCTTGCCCACAGAGGCTCCCTGAAGGGACAAGGCAGCCTGATGCACTTTGCTGCAGCTCCACTGAACGGGCTGCTCCTTACCGTGGCCATGCAGGATCTTAGCCAGCAGCAGTGCTGCAGCAGCCAGCCGAGCTGGGGAGTACCCGAAAAGGCTCGTGTTTAGGAGAGACAGCTCACAAATGAAGCTGTAAAGGTGAAGAGTTCTTCTCTCCAGTGAGACTATGTTTGACAGCACTTCTTTGTAGTCCACAATAGTAGGTATCTAATGCACAAAGGAGAACAGAGGTTGGCAACACAACTCAAGCACCAAGTATTTAGACCACAGTTGTTCTCACAAGACACTGCTTTCATTACCAAGTATTATTTTAAATTCTATGCTAACACTGAAATACTCCCCAGTGAAACAATAAATGATCTCTGAACGTGCCTTAAGAAACTCAAGTTTTAATCTCTACAGGAAGGCAGATGGTTTGGTATCTGCATGCTCTTAAATGTGCAGTCTCCACAGGGAACACTTACAACACAACTTTGTTCTTTTTATTCAAAAGATCCACTTCAGCTGCAGCCCCAGGGATAAAATTGCCCATCCGCTTCCCAAACTCACCCTTATCTTTCCTTCCAGGGCAGAGATGATCTCACCCATCATTCTCACCAGGTCTTCATATTTGTATGTGTTGTCCGTTAGCCACACAGCCTCCCGTATTGTCAAGATCTCTTTGCTGATAAAACTGCAATATCAAGTATATTTAACAGTTAGCCCAAGAATAAAGACTGTTTGTGTACCTATGCACCATTTTTTGTGGCCAGTAAATAATAGATAAGATGACCAAGGGGCTAAACTCTGCAGGGTTTTTAAACCTCACAAAGATTTTTAAGGTTAAACTTTGTAAGTCAGGTACAAGCTGTGAAAGAAGGAACAGCAGCTCCTCGTTTGTTTTTACCTTTATGCTAGAACTATCAACTAAAACATCCCTAATTCTTCACTTATGGAACCTCTCCTAGTTAGGATGCAAGACATTGAGGTAACTAACAGAGAAGAATAGTTCTCCAACACACCACATTGTTCACCTGAGCATAACAGATGGAACTAGGGAACAATACTGCTGTTCCTTATACAGGGTTTCTCATGCTAGTATGAGTATGAGAATGAAATACTTCAGTTCTCAGTGGAATGGAAAGCTTAAACTTAACTGCTACTGTGGAGTTATTTCTGTATTAAAGACATGTTTGAGAAATATTATATGTCAATTTGCAGTGCCTGGAAGTGTTTGTATGTGAAAACGGTTCAAGTAGCAGTTAGTGCAGAGGGTTCTTTCCAGTACTGGAGGAAAAACAAGCTTGAGCTGCACAAATGAGTTTGAACAACCCCAATAACCACCCCCACCATCAGTCAGAACTCCTACCGTGTGCAGATGACCATGCAGGCTATTCCTAGGAGCTGGAGTTGATACCGGGGTACAGGTCTCAGCCTCAGGTAACGGTCCACACAGCCCACCGTCATGTGAAGGCATAGGCAAGAAAAGTCTTTCATGGTTGCCACTTCCACCAGCCAGTCAACCAGGATGTACCTAGATGGCAAAGGGAAACATAACTGCCCAGTTAAAAGCCATCCAGAGTCGTGCTGAACACCCTCCCTGTGCCTGCTCATCTGAATCCCTTCTCCACTCAGAAGTTCCAAATTAGGAAATTCAACAAAAGGAGGAGGTGATGTTTTCAGAAAACCAACACGTGGCACCAAGATAAGGATTTGAGCCAGTTATGCTCTGAAGGGTCAGTGGTCATCTCAAGTTGTAAGTCAGCTTCTGATTTCACTTCACAGACAGGTAATGTGCACTCACACAAGAAATGGGGTGAGGTGCATCAATTAGGAGTCCAAAGGCCACCTAAGAAAACCAGAGAGCAACCAACTACAATGCCAGAAAGTCCAGCAGTGCCTCCAGATCTGTGGGAAACTGTCAGTCTTAACAAACACAAAGTATTTACAGTCCAGAAAAGACCCCCCTCCTCCCCAACCTCACACCCCTGCATTCACTTCTTTACTTGGGCATGAAATGAGGTTTCTGTCCCTTTGCAAATGTCATCCCTTTCTGTGATTGCACACTGCAGAGGGGTAAAGGTGAAGAGTTTATCTCCCAACAGGCCTCATTCTAGATATGTTCCCCCCCTTCACTGATGCAAACAGAAATAAGCAGCAATTCCTGCTGTGTGACCTCACTTCTGGATGTGAGTTTTTACCTCATTGTTTCATTTATTTTTTTCTGCACAGTGAAGATATTTTGCTTGCTGATAGGACGGGAGGCTTGAAACAACTGAGCCACCATTTCACTGGAAGATTTTGCTTCTAATCCTAGTTGGTTTCCATTTCCACAAGCCTTGGCTAACGCTATCTGTAGTAGAGGAAAAAAACATGCACAGAAAAGGACTTTTACCAAGTGCAAATTAAAGCAGTAGAGAATGGTCCTGTAATTTTTCTGGTGGAAACAGTGAACAATAGAAAAATACTTGGAAGAACTGCTAGTAGAATTGGTTCTTAGTCTAGCTTGAATGCTGAACACTGCACATGTTATTCGGGGACAGGCTTTTCTGTCACTAGTTCAATCCTTGGATCACACCAAGGAAGTACAGCATTTTTCAAGAGCTATTTGTGAAGAATAGATATGCACACAAAGATATCACTCAGCAATTCTGACCATGTTTCTGAAAGGAGAAGCTTAAGTCTACAGTGACAGCATAGCAAAAAAGCAGCTAAATTCCCCAGGAGGAAAAAAAAAATAAAATAAAAGCAACACAATCAGAAAAACATACCTGTGCATCCCAGCACCCCTTTGCTGCATAGTCCCGTAGCTTCCTGAGACTTTGGAGGTATCTGCCAGGGTCCAACATCTACAGAGAACAACATGGACAGATTTCAAATACCGTCTCCTTTACTTAAGAAACAGAAGAGAAAAAACACAGCCTGTAGGTACATCTATTGTTCCACAACCAGTCTGTTCCTCATCATCAGAGCTACAATACTGTTAAGAAGCTTTCTTCAGTTCCTGCCCTAGGTCTTACAAGAAATGAGATTGGTCACCCAGGATTCCCATATATGAGCTTTGCAAAATTAGTGACAAGGCAGGCAGCCTCCC